CCCCACCCACTTCTTGACCCCCCGCCCCCTGCCTGATGGCTTCTGTCCTGTGGCTTATTGGGCACCACCTGCCCCTTCTCCCTCATCTCTGCCAGCCTAGGCTGTGCCATCCCATGGACCTTCCTGGACCATTTTCATGCCAGGAAGGGCAGCTCTCCTCTATGCTGCTCATGCCGTCCGGGCGGGCCTGGCTCTCGGCCCCAGCACTGCTGTCTGTTCACTGCTGCGTCCTCTGTGCATGCGTTGTCATCCCACCCAGATCCTAGGAATGCCACCCTTCACCAAGACCCCTTCCTAACCAGGCCCATAGCAGTCGAGGTACGCTGTGCTCGGGTTCATTCTCCCATTTGCACAGAGGAGGGCAGCTTAGAGGGGTGAGTGTCCACGCCCAGGGCCTCCTGGGCAGCCGGTGGCACAGCAGGAGTCAGAGCCATGTCTCTCTGCTGCCCCTCGTGAGCCTCTAACATGTTGAGGGCACCGGCCACGTTTACACCCTGTGCCCTCTCCTGAGGGACCTGGGACTGCTGGGCTTCATGGGACATCGTCCCAACCCTTCTGGAGCTTTCTGTTTGGAAATAAACAGACCACCCCCACCCGAGGAGTTGAAGCGCCCCTTCCCAGTCTCTGGCGTTTTCTTCATGGTGGGTCACACTGTCTCTGTGCCTGGGTCTGTCCTCGCGTCAGCCCCGTCCTTTCTCTGGGCCTTGGTTTTCCCACCTACGACAATGAAGGGGTGGGTTAGATAATGCCCCAGAGCCCTCTCAGCTCTAAAAAGAGATTCTATGACAAGCATAGCAATCCAGATGAGTAGAAGAAAATGCAGTTTGCTCAGAGAATCTATTCTTACACTCAGGAAACAATTAGAGAATGTTACAAGATGCAAGGAACCAAGTAGTGACTCGTGTGGCAAGGGAGAGATTTCCGAGGAGGAGCAGAGCTGTGAGGACTAGGCATGAGGGATTCGCACTGATTTACTCACTCCATTGGCCCTACTACGGGCCAGATGTAGGCGAAGCCACGTTCCTGCTCTCAGAGAACTCAGTCCAGAGTGGGAAGGGGGCAGTAGAAAGCAGGAACTCCTCGCGCCCCAGATGCGGGCTCTGTGGGAACCCGGGCAGAGTCCCTGACCACCTGCATTTGGGAACACGCTGAGAAAAGGCGTATCGAAGGAAGTGGCATCTGAGTTTAGAGGTGTAGGCGAAGCATCCCTAATACAGAATTCAAAATGCTTCAAAAGCTAAAACTTTTTAAGTGCTAACATGACATCAACAGTGAAAATTTCACAGCTGACCTAAGGAGGTGCGGGTTGCAGGCAATACAATAATATTGTCTAAAAACACCTTCAGGCTGTATGTATAAGGTGTGTATGAAATGGAAGTGAATTTTGTGTTTAGACTTGGGTTCCACCCCCTAATGCATCATTATATATATGCCAATATTTCAAAATCTGAAGATAAGAGAAAAGCCCGGTATCTGAAACGCTCCTGGTCTCAAGCATTTTGGGTAAGGGACACTCAACCATTATCTGAGACAAGCTGTGGGGGATGGGAAAGGTGAGTTTTCCTTCCAGATGAAGAAGACCAAGGCCCACATCCTATGAGCCCTCAGCTAGCCCTGGTCTAGGTAGGGGACACCTGCTGTCTAATGTCACATAGATGCCACAGTAGCCTTCCTCGTCTTAAATATGAGGATGCCAAGGCTCCGGAGCATTAGGTGATCTGCCGGAGCAGGTGCAAGGAGTGGGAGCTGGGATTGGATCGAGGTCTTTTGGATCTTAGAGCCTGCACACTAACCCAAAGCTCGTGGACTCCCAAGAATGAGAAACAGGACCTCAGTCCTGTTAGCTGGCCTCCCGCAGGTAGAACCAAGAACAGTACCGTTACATTCTCCTGTTCTTGTCACTGTTCTCATCCTGTTGCGGCCCATGGGAAGGAGCTTGTCGGAGACCGAAATGAGTCCTAATGTTTTCACTAATTTGGGGTCTGGCTCAGGGATGCGTGGTCAAGTGGTGGAGAGGCCAGAGCCCTGCCTTCCCAGCTGAGAAATTCTGCAGGTCGGTTACATCTTTCCCCGGCCTGTTTCTCAGCCCCGTGTTAAGGTGACCCCAGAAGCCCTGTTGATGCGGCTAGCACAGCTGGGGTTTCGTTTACAGAGGCCTGCTGGGATGGTGTTCAGATCTGTCGCAGAAAGAATAGGAAGGGCTTTATCAGACCTTATCCTGAGCCAGACCAGTCAGCTTATGAAATTTTGCAAGTGTTTTAGACGTGAACTTACCTTTTGATGATCTGAGAGAAAAAGAGCATATGGTTTCTATGAACTTCCTAGAACTATATTTTCTACATGAGATATTTTTAAGCATAATTGAATTTCATAAATATGACAGCATTTGGTAACACTTGAGCATGTTTTTGTTCTGTTGTTTATAGCAGCAAAATAATCTATTCCATATCTTTTTTTTAAGAAACTTCTAGAGCTCAACAACCTGCATTCTCTCATGTCTGTGGTGTCCGCATTACAGAGCGCTCCCATCTTCAGGCTGACCAAGACCTGGGCTGTAAGTTGGTCTTCTCGAGTCTGTCTCGGGCTTTGGCTCTCGCTTCTCTGGCTCTCTGTCTACACTTTGCCAACGACAGTCAGCACGAGGAGTGGAACGTTCCCTAGGCACTCCTACTCCTTCAGGACTCCGGTCCTGTTTTGGTACAGGGCACTGGTGAGGGTGTCAACGTGGCTGGGGTTGGAAGCCTCCCCGAGTGGACCTTCCTGGCCCCTGCACGCCGTGCCTGGTGGCCAAGTCAACAGCATGATTTCCACCCTCCACTTGGCCGGTTTTTCCCTCTGGTGGGTTTCTAACTGCCCTGGGGAAGGTCTCTGGGCCAACGGTTCACAGCTGCCCTGGGTCATTGGCCATACAGCTATGAGGTTCTCTAGAGAAACCTGTGACCCTCATGTAGGAAAAAATGAAATCTGAGGCCGTGGATAATTTCAGCTGGGAGGTGGAGTCTGATGGTTATATAATTCAGTCTGTAGGAAAGTTTTTCTCCTGTAAAAATACTTTTAAAATATCTCAGACCTCGTTCTCCTCCTTAGCTTGGCACAGTGCCTGACACGGGGGAAGTAATCGCTGTTTCCATTGCTCGTTAGCATCCGCCTCCTGGCCCGCCTGGTCCGGGGTCTCTCACAGCCACGCAGCCCAAGCCTTTCAAGACCTGTTTATGTCCCATGGACCTGCCGGAAACTGTACGGAATGGTCAGATGTGCTTCTGCAACTCATTTCCGAACTGCTCTCTGCCAGTCTGTGGGCTGGGCTCTGTTTCCTACTTGGCTGGCTCCGGGGACTTGAAAATACTTAGGGATTATGTTGTAGGTGATCAGAAATGAGCCTTGTTTCTTTAAATTGCAATTTTCCATAGATCCAGTCCTCGCAAAGTGGAGCAGTGGTGTTAGCCTGGAGTCCGAAAACTAGGCTGCTTTCAGACACCATCAGAGCAGAACTTCTATGAAGCTCGTTTTCCCATATCCCTGGAGGGGCTATCCTGGACTAGTGGTCTTTCATCAGTGCTTTGCGGAGCCCTCGGCTGCCCTAGAGTGGCCTTGAGGGCCACCAGGGGGTGAGGGGTAGAGAGGGGGGTGCCAAGCAGGCAGCTCAGGCACTTACTCCAGAGAAGACCTGTGTGTGTGTGCATGTGTGCGTGTGTGTCTCTGTGTGTGTGTGTGTGTGTGAGAGAGAGAGAGAGAGAGTTTTTATGTGCTGGGCTTTAGGGTGAACTTCCACTGAGCAATGCCTTTGTGGGTCAAAAGCAAGTTTGGAAGCAGCTGGTTCCTGCAGTTGCTGCCAGCCCTGTGATTTCAAGTCCATCTGAGCAGCGAGGCTTTTTTCAAAAGTTGCTTGGCGGGAACCAGCAGTTAGCGTAATGGCTATGTCGCTGCACTCCCACGTAGTTGACCGTGGTTTGCATCCCGGACCCTGTGGCTTAGAACTCATGCTGGGCGCATGTGCATGCGTGCCCAAGATCCCAAGAGGAGAATGGAAGAGAAGGGATTGCGGCGTGACCATCCTCCCTGGGGGGTGATTTCTCGGTTTCTGTCTTTATGTCTCTCTCTGTCTGGCGAGTGCACGTGCCCTATAGCGAAAACCTCTGAAAAAAAAAAGTTGCTTGGGGATTCTTTTTCAAATGAATTTTCTCTTATTTAAATGCTGTTATTTTTTTTTTAATTTTTAAGGTATTGTTTATTTAACTTTATTTATTCATTCATTAATTTTTGATTTGACCAGAGAGAGAGAGACAGAGAGAAAGAAGGGGAGAAAGCAAGCCACCAACTATGGGACTCAAACTGTGGTTGGCCATGTGGGAGTGTCCAGCGCCTTAACCACCATGCCACCTGCTGGTCCCCATAAATGCTGTTATTTTTTTCTGTACTGCTGGGGAGCCGTGTGGGGACCCAGAGGGCTGAGGCTTTCATCCCCTGTGACTCGCAGACCTGATTGTCAGTGATAATGTAGCTCTCAGCGTCACCTGTACACTGCTTAGTCAGCAAGGGGGCGGCTGGTGAACTGGCACAGGGGCTGTGCAGTCCGAGGGTCCTACACAGAGAGCAATCCACCCCAGTGACGCTCTGGGTCAGCGATCTCTGAGCAGTGTTACGAGCTGCCACTGCGCCTGAGTGAGTTTGGCTGGACAAGCGCAGCTTAGAATAGCTGGGTCTTTACTAACAAAACAAGCCGTTTTGTTTTTGTTACATTTTTTCCTCCTGTATGAAAAGTACTGCATTAGGAACTTCGAAGATGAGCTCAGTGGCCTGTGGTTATCTCCCCAGGCTTAGCAGTGGCCGTTGCCGGCCTGGCACCTGGTCACTGGAGTGCAGCAGACAGGGAAGCCAGAGGAGGGCCCCCAGGGCAGGGCCATGCAGCCAGCGATCTGGAGAGCTGCAGCCAGACCTCGAAGCCGCCCTACAACTTGCCTCTGGCCGCTTACTCTTGGTTAGTCTAAGCCACGGCTTCTGTGCCTTCTCCACTCCCCTGGAACTGGCTGCTGTCTGCCACATAGGTGAGCAGTTAGCAGGTGGGAATCAGGGAGATGCCAGGGAGCTGAGATTACATGTCCCCATGGAACAGGGGAAACTCGGGCCAAGAACACATCCCCGTTCCTGTTCTGAGAGACCTCCTCTCATGTCCTAAGGACTGAGAGTTAGGACAGTCTCCCTGGTTACAAAGGACCACTTTCTAGGGTGAAGAGAAGGTAGATACCATATCCTAGGAATTAAGAATGGCAGCTGCCAGACGGCTGTGGCAGGAGAGAGAAGGCAATACACATTGCAGGGGCTGTGGGGTCTCCAGGGGCAATCGTGGGGCAGCTGAAGCCACCAGTCAGCCTCTGTTCTAGGCAAGCCCTCTTCTCACTCCTTTTCCTGTTACCCAAGGACAGCAGCCAGCACTGAGCATTAGGAGGAGGGGGCCATTCTCATCACCCACCCCTTCAGCCACAACAGCCCAGCCCCGTGGAGGGGCGACCCCATTGTCTGTGCTCACCTGTCTGGTGACAGCAGGCTCGGGGGCGGGGTAGGGGGCACACATCTGTTCTGCGATGTCACTGACAGCTCTGCCTCCACCTTCCCTTCGTGGTGGCTCCACTGCCTCGGGCCCAGCCCAGTACACGTCTGCTGTTTCAGTTGTACACGTTTGTTGTTCTGGAGTGCATCTTTCTTTCACTTTTAATTTCTGGTAATGATATTAACCACAGAAATATATTATGGTTAATGATTTAAAAAAAAAAAAAACCTGTTTCCTCTCTCCTTATTTGTCGCTTGCGCTGGGACTGGTGAGACCTCAGTGGCCCCAGAGCAGGGAGGAGCAGGGGGCCTGGAGGGTTCAGCACCTGAAAAGCCACTGCTGTTACAGTCTTTGTTTGGAAGAGGAGGAAGCTGAGGTTCCAGGAGGTGGAGTGACCTGTCCAAGCCCCCAGAATGGGTGAGCGCCCAGGCCAGTGTGCTGCGGCCTTACCCTGAGAGGTCCTGTCCAGCCTGACCAGTGAGCCGGGGGCTTGATGATGGCAGAGCCTGTGATGGAATTAGGCTGGGCACCGGGCAGGGACAGAGAGGCACAGGGACTGTGTGGCACATGGAGCTGGAAGAATGAGGCTGATGCATGGGCCCCAGGGGCCAGGGTGTAGCTAGCTCTGTGTGTGCTGTACCCAACGCTCGCCTCCAAACCCTGGGTACATGGGAAACCTGGCTAGAAAGGGGTTCCAGGGGTGGGAGACCTGCCACTTGGCTGCACCATCGATGACCTCCAGGGAGGGTCTGCTGGTCACTACCAGGACAGGGCAGGGCAGCCTATTGGCCTGTCCATGGCTGGTGGCTGAGAGTCAGCAGCTGCATGAGCTGGACAGGACAAATTGACACTAAGCACAGTCCTGTACATAGTAGGCCCTTACGGAATGTTGGCTGATACACAAACAGGGAGGGTGTCATGGCTGGCCTGGAGAAGTGCAGGCAGGGAATGATTTATCCCAGCACTGGGCCTACTTTGGAATATTGGCTGCCTCAAAGCTATGAAACCTAAGCAAGAAGTTATATCAGCCAATTCTGATTTCCTGACTACACATCACCACGCGGCTCTTATTCATTCCACAGATCAAATATTTATCAAATGCCTCCTGCGTGCCAGGTCCTGGGTCTGTAGTCAGGGCCCCTGTCCTCATAGGCTTCCTTGTTATTGAGGGGAGATAGACACGTGATTTGGGGGCATCTATTTGGGCCTAGTCTGGCTGGCACAGAAGTGGTCAATAAATGTTTATGGATGGCAAGAAACAAGGAGTGAGGTGCAGTCAGACGGGAGCAAAGGCTACACTGAAGACCAAGACAGATGGCTGTGACTGGGCACGGCTGGGCGTGTGCTGCATCTGGGTGCTCAGGGCGGGCCCTCTGAGGCGGTGCCCTGAACTACGGAATGGAGCCAGCCATGCCCAGATGAGGGCATGAGTGTTCCAGGCAGAGGGGACAGCGTTGCAAAGGCCCACCACAGGGACAAGCTCAGGGGGCCAGGAGGAGGTTGGTGTAAGCTATATTGGATGGGCAGTGGAGCTGATCACGTAGGGTTCAAAGCCTGGGAGAGGAGTTAAGCTCCATTCAAAGTACACAGGCAGATTTTCAACAGGAGGAAGACGTGATCTGGTTTACATTGGCCTGTTGGCAGGTATATGTGTGCATGTGTCTGTGTGGGTTTGAATTCTGGTTGTTTAAACAGGGTCTCTCTGTATAGCAGTGGTCCTCCAGATCTCAGCCTCCCAGCTGAGACTACAGGCATGGCCCACCATGCCTGGCTGTTTTTTAAAACAGAGTCTAGCTGCGTTGCCCAGACCAGCCTCAAGGTAATGATCCTCTTGCCTTAGGTTTCCGATCGTCTGGCCTCGGCCTCTCACGTCACTGGGATTATAGGTAAATGCCACTGCACCTGGCCTATCGTTTGGACCAGGAATCGAACCTGGGCTTCCAAGGTGATCCCAGCCTGTGCAGCACAGGGTCTGTGCTGCAACAGGGTTTCCTTTTTATGTTTAA